TGAAGAAATTATTTGCATTTAAATCATAATATTCAGTGTTGCATCTGTCTAATCTTTTTGAACACATGAACACTGCCCGAGATTCAAAAAGCACCAGCTCATGAAAAGGGACTACTTCTTCCCGGGTCATCTGTTTCTGTACAACACTGTTTATAATGGACCTGGGGGTTTGGTATGCCCACCTAGCTTAACTTTCTCACAAGGAGCGTCTGCAAGAATAAACATCTCACAGATGTCCACCCTCATGAAAATTCGGTATATAACACCTAGTTAAACTCTCTCACAAGAAGCATATCTCATAAAAGTTTGGTATATGATACCCTAAAACCCAACGTGTCAACGCATAATAATAAGTCCAGATCAGTTTTCCTGATCTATATATACCCATCATAAAGTTTTGGGTATATTTATCTGGTCCAGGCATAATCATATTGCAGGATTAAAAAATTCAATTAATTTGAAACAAACTTAACTTTAATTTGAACATCTGAATTTTTTTTTGCAGCAGTGTCTTGAATAAGTTTAGATAAATTTGCATTACTTGACAATCGTCTCAAATAGATGCAGTACATTCCATTATCAGAATTTTCTCCTTTCGAAAGGGAATTATTATCAAGGTACTTGAGAAACCCAACCCAAGACCATTTTTTAGGTGTAGTTTCTAAAAAATAACATAAATATTTATCCCCATCTGTATCAAGGTTTGAGTCTTCCACTTATATTGATGGAAAAAAAAATATCATTTTTTAAATTAACATAAAAGTTTATTGTACTCAACTACTGTTATTATTATTACTTACTCACTTGTATTGACTGGATTGTATATGTTATGATTCACCTTTATGATTTTTTTTAAAAAAAAAGTTATTGCAGTATTTTACTCGATATGGAAATACTAAATACTGTAATGATCGGCGTTATGAAAAACTATAGATTGGCTAAATACAGCCGGGGGATAATACCCTGTAATTATTAACGTCATGAAAAGAGATTCTGATTGGCTAAATTCTGTGCATATCTTTTCGTTTTTTTGAAATAAAAAAAATTAATTGACGATCCATCTATGAATCAGTGAATATTATTAATATCAAATGAAAGCAAAAGTTAGAAACATTCAGACATAAAATTATTTGTACAATAGTATTTTTAAAATAATAAAAGACAACTTGTCTGTTTATAAGAGTGTTCAATTTGTTTCGAAAAGCGATTCTTTACAACTTGGTAACAGTGAATGTTCACATTTACATATTGCGAAAATAGTGATTTAAGTACCACGGGAATTTGGAAAAGTTGCACGAAAAGATGGAGAAAATCAACACGGAAATTAAATTAATAAAATAATTAACTCACAGAAATTACCAAGAAAGTAACATTTCTTTAATTATTTTCGAAAGAAATGGTTGTTTATTTTAAGGGATACTTTAATTCGATCAAATCAAGGGTTTTTATAAATTGAGGAACTAGATGATTAAACCTTTAACATGTATAGATAATGTTGTAATTTTCTTACCTAAAAAAAATAGAAAATCAATAGTTAATTCATAATAAACAACCTTAATCTTAATCTTGTCCTTGTTTTTGTCCTTGTCTTCGAATTTTATATTTTCACAATGATAATAAACCTATCTCTGACAATGAATCCATGTATAATTAATTTTCTTTTATTTTATATTTGTCATTATTTTTATTTTTTTTTTTAGCAAGTAATATTTAATAAATTCAACAATCAGAATAAACTTTCTCTATTACTTCATTATTATATTAATAAAATAATTATATACTTAATAATGCTTTTATAAAAAGAAAGATATTAAGTATTTATTAAAAATTGAATAATATAATTAACAAAAAATCATGGTAAACATTATAAATGAACAACAACAAGCAAATAAAGCATTATTCGAAGAAATTGAAACATTAAAAAAACAACTAGCTGATAAAGAAGAAAATCCCAAAGTGAGAATCCACAACATAGTTGAAAATGTTAAAGAAACTGAAAGCCCAGAAATTGCTGGAACTTTAATGACCTTAGAAAAACACTTTTTACCCCAAGATGAATTAACCCTTGAAAACTTTGTTAAGGGTTGCACTGAATGAACATTACTTAATTGCAATAATTTTAGTTATGTTTCTAGAAAAAATGATGAACTAAAAGAAAAGAATACTGTTTTAGAAGAGAAAGTTGTAGGATTAGAACAAACCAAGCAAGAATTAGAAGCCAACCAAAAAGAACTGGAAAAAGAATTAGAGTTTGAGATGGCAAGTGCTGATTGCCACTTGGATGCTATTAATACTTGTAAAGACTGATATTTTACTCATCATGTTAATCCTTTAAACAAAGAATTG